AGGCGTACTGGATCTCCCGGAGAACCCCTTCCCACTTCTTCTGCTCCTCATCATACCTGGGGAGAGCCAGACAGACAGACAAAGAGAGTTACAGCGAGGAAAGTGTCCCCTCTCCCCGCTTCCAGCCACTCTCTGCAGCAGTGGGAGCCCCTGTGCAGGGTGGGACATCCCACGGGCATTATTTGGCCACAGGAACCCGTGGGAGCTGCGTGGGGACTTTCAGCCCTGGTGTGCTGTGGTTTGTGATGCCAGGCTGGGGGTGTGGATGTCAGCACCTGGTCTCACAGGGGAGGGGGTGTTTTTTTCATTGGGAAACATTTTGGTGGCACCAAGATGGAACATCCACAGTGAAGGACGGCGGGTTCCTGCTGAGGGTGCTGCAGCACCGACATAAGGGACAGGAGCAGCTAATGCTGTGTGAGCAGCTGTCACAGGGTGCTTCCTGCCCACTTCTCTGCTCACATGTAAGACTATCTGCTTCCCAGCCAGGACTATCTGCTTCCCAGCCCGAGCACTGGCTGTTTCCAGGGAGAGGATGCATCGCACAGATGCTGCTCCACACCAAAGGGGAGGCTGGAACCAGCTCCAGGCAAAATGTCAACTCAGCAGCAAAGCCAAAGGAACAGTTTTCCCTGGTTTGAGGCTGGGAGAGATCACTGAGCCCCCCAGTGTGCCCTCCAGCACAAAGTCCCCACCCAGAGACCCTGTGCTGAGCCTGCAGCCTCGGGCTGGGGTCACAACCTCTGTCTCACACTGATGGCACCCAGAAAGGCAGAACCCATCTGTTTCATCACTAGCATCCCTCCCATGCTCCCTGGGGGAGACCATCACCTCCAAACATCGTTGAGCTCCGTTGGCACCAGCTCTCCTGACTCCGTCTCCACCGTGGCGAACCCCCCGAGCAGGTAGAGCACCCCGGACAGGCTGACCAGGCTGACCGAGCTGCGCTCCTGGGGGAACTCTGTGAACGTGTCCCACCTGCCACATCAGGAGAAGGGGCATGTTAGAGCACCCTGGCTACCCCCACCAACCAGGAATCAACAGCTGAGTTCACAGGTTGACCTGGGCAGGTCTACGTGGGATGGGATCATAACCCTGGCTGGTTTTAGGGACAGCTGTTTCCATCACCGTCACTCAACTCTGTTTTCCATTGAGTATCTGACCTGTGAAACACACTGGACCAGAATGTCCCAGTGCTGGGACTGCAGCTGCAAGAGCCACCCAAAATCAGAGAGTTTATTGTGTCGGGTGAAGGTGCCAGGAGGAAGGCACAGCCCTGCAGGGACGGCACCGGCTGGTGAAACCACTTTAAAGACGAGCTTGAGATGATCCACAGCCCAACCACAGTGGCACCGGTGATGCCCAGCTCTCTGAGGAACTCTAGCCCCTGGTTTGGTGCAATCCCACCCCAGGGTGGGCTCAGTCAACCTACTTGTTGGTGGCAATGTCATAGACTTCCACCGAGCTGGTCAGGCCCGAGTCGGTCACGCCGGCGGCCACGTAGATCTTGTCCTTGTGCACGGTGGCCCCGAACAAGGAGCGGGCAGTTTTCATGGGGGCCACGTCCTTCCACTCGAACTTGGAGGGGTTGTAGACACACATCTTCTTCAGGCACTTCCTGGGGAGAGATGAGAGGGGAAATGGAGCCTGGATCGCCCGCCAAGGGGGGTGGTTTTTGCGCTGCAGGAGTTCGGGGGTGTCTGCTGGGAAGAACGTGGGGGCTCTTGAGAGGATTTTGTTCCATATCAGCACAAATTCAGGACACGTGGGGTGTCCATGCCTGGCCATGTGTGTGTGACATATCCCCTCCTGCTGTGCCCACTTTGCGTGGGAGCCCTGGAAGCTCCACCTGTGCTCACAACCCTGGTCCCTGCAGCCAACAGCCTCTCAGGAGGCTGTGAAAGGGTTTCTTGCTCTCCAGTGTGACATTTGTGTTTTTGTGAGCAAACAGGACTGTAGATCATAAAACAGTTTAAACTGGGAGTATCTTTAAAGCTCATCTCATTCCAACCCCCCCCCCAGCCATGAGGAGGGACACCTCCCACCAGACCAGGTTGGCTTAAAGCACCATCCAGTCTGGCCAGGGATGGGGCAATGCATTCCCTCTCCTGCAAGGACACTGCCATCTCCCTGGTGTCCCTGTGGGGCTTGTGAAGGGCTGCAGGCACAGAGGTGAGCTGGGAGGGAAAGACCCACGTCTCAACACCCCACCCAGCCCTCCTTAACCCGTGCTGGGGAGGTACCAACTCCTGCTCTGCGCTCCCACTCCTTTGGGAGGTGACTCCTTGAATTTCTCCTGCTTTTTTTTTGACTCACTTGTCACTTCCTTTGCCCCCAATGACGTAGACAAGGTCCTTGTGTGACACCACAGCGTGGCCATAGACAGCGTAGGGCAGGGGATCGGCTTCACCCCACTTGAAGGACCTGGATCAGAGAAAGGGGGGAAGCAGAAGGATTTGTGGCTTGCTGGGTGACACTAAATACGAGGTTTCCATAGAATCGTGGAATATCCTGGGTTGGAAGGGACCCACACAAAGATTGTCAGGTCTGACTTCTGGCTCTGCACGGAACAACTCCCCAAAAAAACCCACATCATGAGGTAGAATTCAGTGAGATAAGGCTCACTCAGTAAATTTCCCAGGACCTCATCTCATTTACAAGCACTACCAGCTGCATGATGGAAAAAATTTGAAACCAAGTCCACCCCTAAACCATGTCCCCAAGTGAGCCATCTACATGTTTTTTAAATCCCTCCAGGGATGGTGACTCCACCACTGCCCTGGGCAGCCTGTTCCAGTGCCTGGCCACTATTTTAGTGCAGAAATTTTCCTAAACTTCCCCTTGTGCCATTTGAGGCCATTTGCTGTCATCCTGTTCCTTGTTCCCTGGAAGCAGAGCCCGATCCCCACCTGGCTCCCCCCTCCTCTCAGGGAGTTGTGGAGAGCAAGAAGGTCCCTCCTGAGCCTCCTTTTCTCCCGGCTGAACATCCTCAGCCTCCTCAGCTGCTCCTCATCAGACTTGTGCTCCAGATTCTTCCCCAGCTCCTCTCCCTTCTCTGAACATCCAGCACCTCAATCTTTCTTGTCATGAGGGACCCAAAACTGAACACAGGGTTTGAGGTGCCTCAGCAGTGCCCAGCACAGGGGGACAATCACTTCTCTGGTCCTGATGCCACACTGTTCCTGACACAGGCCAGGATTCCACGGGCCTTTTTGCCCACCTTGGCACACCTGGGCTCATGTTCAGCTGCAATCAATCAAAATAATGCCAGAATAATATCAACCAAGTAACACTAAAGTGGTGCTGATCACATCTCCACCAGCTTCAAATGGATACTGAAACCACCCCCTGAGCACTTAGCAGGGGCAGACATGCCCTTTCCCAGAGTCTGCAGGGGCAGATAAATGCCCCTTTCTGTGGAAATGAAACTGGTTTCAAACCTCTGCCTGTAAAGTGGAGTTTGGAGCACACACATCTAAATACAGACGAAGTAAAGGCTTGTTGATGCCTCCTGCTCCTCCTCTTTGGGGCAGGCTTTGGAGGTTTCTGTCTGCTGAGAGCAGAACAGGATGGTGTCTTTTAATAAAGCTCATGACCCAGCATGGGTTAGAGCCCACTGTCCAAAAATAATCGGATATTAAGCCTGGTATCAATCAGGCTGAGCCCTCTGAATATTTGAAAAACCAACTTTCCCGCTCAAACCACTCGTGGTGAGACCCCAGCGAGTGTCACTGAACCTTCAAGAGCAGAAGGAAAAACTCCTCTCTAAGGGTCTCAGATGGACATCAACTGATATCAGTCCCTGCTATCATAATATCCCTATTAAAGCTTCCACCCCCCAGGAGGTTCAGTCACAAAAAAGGGAGCAGATGGAGTGTGACAGCTCCGAGCCCCAGGGCACAGCTCAAGACAGTCCCTGCGGTCCCAGCATTGACATAAAGACTTCAAGCCCTGCCTCCGAAACCTTTTGACCCCTGGAGACCTGGAGTCATTTTTCAGGCAGCTGCTTCACCCTCTCCTCCAAACCCCCTCCCTTTCCCCCCCTGTGGGCACTCACAGCCGGTCGTAGCACAGCACAGAGTCCAAGGTCTTCTCCCCCTCCTTCAGTTCTTTCCCTCCGACCACGAAAATAGAGTTTTCCGCCTCTCCCAGGCCGAAGAGGCAGCGAGGAGAGGGCAGGGGGGGCATCCCCAGCCAGTCTGCGTCCAGGTGGTCGTACTGGAAGGGAACACACGGTCATCAGAGTGTGAGCACCCAGCCCATCGGCTTGGCAAAACAACAGGGTCCACAGGCTGAGGGCAAAATCCATCCCCACGGGCAGCTTGGTCACCCCACGGCACAGGGTGCCTGTGCCCTTCCACCTGGGGCAGGATGGGAGATCCTGGAGCAAACCCGAGTCATGTATCATGTGATGTATTTTCTAATGGCAAGAAATAAGCCAGTGTGAACTTGTTCTGCTCTCTGCACCGAAGCCTTGGCTTTATGGAATTACAGAATTATCGAGGTTGGAAACCTCTGAGATCACAGAGTCCAACCTGTGGCCCATCCCCAGCTCACCCCCCAGCCCAGAGCACTGAGTGCCATGTCCAGTCATTCCTTGGGCACCTCCAGGGGTGGGAACTCCAAACCTCCCTGGGCAGCCCCTCCCAGTGCCTGACCACTCTTTCTAGGAAGAGATTCCTCCTGATGTCCAACCTGGACCTCCTCTGGTGCAGCTTGAGACCATCTCCTCTTGTCCTGATGCTGGTCCACTGGGAGAAGAGCCTGACCCCTACCTGGCTACAACCTCCTCTCAGGGAGTTTTAGAGAGCAACAAGGTCTGCCCTGACCCTCCTCTTCAAACCTGGGACTTGAAACGGGCTTGGTTCATCTTTAGGTGAAAGAGTTGCAGGTCATTGCCTCATCTCCCACCAGAAAACAAAAAATATGGAAGGGCTTTCTGAGCACTGTGGTTTGATGGGAACTGCAAAGCGGGGCAGAAATTTTTCATGCAGCTTGGTGGCAGAGGAGGGAGGGGATGTCTTGCAGCCAATTTTTTCGGGACTCTGCCAGATGAAGCTGTGATGCTGCCCTGCCTGGGGCTCTGTTTGCTGTGAGCTCAGGCCAAAGAGCTTCAGCCTGATGGGTTGGCTCCAAAGCTTGGCCTCAGCTGGGTGGAGGAGCCTGTGGTCTCCCTTAAAGCTGTGGCTCCCCATATGTGTTATTTATAGTGCAAACCTGACCAGCTCAGCCATCAGGATAGTTCCTGCTTCTCGAAGGACTCAGCATTGTTTGCAAGTCATAAATCTTAGAAGTGACAAAGAAAGGACACCCTTTTCCATCTGAGATGTCGATGGAATCGTTTTGCTCCTGCCAAAATCTGCAAGGCCCCTGGGATTTATCAGCGTTTTTATATTTTGGTGCCTGTCCTTAAATCTAAACTATCCCTGACCTGACAGTGCTGGGGAGGAATGTGAAACTGGGGAGGATGGAAACAGTCAGAAGGTGCAGGGAGCTGCTCCACAGAGGCTGGGGGGTTTGTCTTACAGCAGCCTGTCTACATCTGTCATTTCAGCTGGAGAAAAAAAAAAAAAGGCTCAAAAGACCCTTATACAGCAACCATGAAATACATAACTGCACTGATGCAATAAATGACACCTTTGCAGACTGATGGCACTCTCCAAGCCCAGGACTCTCCCAAGCACAGGTGCCACAGTGAGGTGTGGAGGCACCACTGTCCCCTTCTTGTGTGGAAGGAGCTAAAAATGCCCCCATGATGCCCAAAACCTCTGCCACTGAGTCAGTGGAAAATTGGGAGCTGAAGGTAGAAATCCTGCTGTTTGCAGCTTAGAACCACAGGGTACTCTGGGACTGAATGGACTTCCAAAGGTCTTTCATCCAGCCCACATGTCCAGGCAGGCTCAGCTTTGGGGTTAGAGAAGGTTGCCAGAGATTTGTGCAATCAGATATTAAATATTTCCAAGGATGTTGCTGCACTGGAAGTGTCCAAGGCCAGGTTGGATGGGGCTCAGAGCAACCTGGTCTAGTAGAAGGTGTCCCTGCCCATGGCAGGGGGTTGGAACTGGATGATCTTTGAGGTCCCTTCCAACCCAGGCCACTCTATGATTCTATGCAGATTCTGTGACCTCTCTGGACCCTGCCCCAGTACTACTCCGTCCCCCTTGGGAAGATTTTTCCTCACAGCAAGCTGACATCTCCCTTCCTGTGTCCAGTGGCCGTTGCCTCTTGTCCCACCTTTGTGCAAACCCAGGGAAAGAATGGATCACTCCTCCATGTCTCCTAAAAACAAGGCGCTTCTGACACCAATGAGATCTTCCCTCCCCCTTCTCCGGGATCATCAGACAAGGCTCAGCCTCTTCTTGTCCCACCAGACTGGTGGGACATCGATCTTTAGGCACAGGTTTGGGCTCAATACAAAGCAACCCATCTACCTTCTCTGCACAGGCGAGTGATGGAGTTGGCCACACCTCTGTCGTCATCCACACTGGGCTGTGTCTCAAACAGCACATCCCTGGCACTCCCACAACCTTCCCACTTCCCCCTGCTTTTGAGGACTGGGGGTTCTTCCTGCTGGCTTCTTATTTCACAGGCTTCACCTGGCTCCACCCTATTTCACAGCCTCCTGGCCCTTTCCAGATGAGGACGAGCCTGGTACCTGCACACACGATGCAGATGGACAGACCTACCCCTGCAACAAGGCAAGGCTGGATGTCTCAGCTTGGGAACTACTCTCATTTTACCCTTTCTGCCTGGACATGCTATTTTTTTCCCCAAAAGATGTGAGCCATGGAGAAGAACAGAAGGATTTCTGGGTATGGGAGGAAGAAGAGGAGATTTCCTGGATTCTTCAGGGTCAGCAGGAAGGGTGCCTTGAGTTTGCTGTCTATGGGGAAAGTGCTCTTGGGTCACAGCCCAGGCTGGGGCTCAGGTGCCTGTACACAGCTCAGTCCAGTCACAGCTTTGGTCACTGCTGAGCTGGAACAGCCACTTTCCTTGTGGAGTATCCCAAAAGATGTCACAGTGTGGTTCCCCCCTCACAGGGTGGAAATGGCCAAGGCAGAGAGACAGAGGTGGAACAAACCCCCCTCCAGGGGCTGGAGCAGCACTAGAAATGGAGCACATGTTGGCAGGCAGGGACACACCCTGTGTGCTTGGGGTGTTTGCTCCGTGGCTGTAGCTGCTGCTGCTCCTGTTTTTTGGCACCTGGCAGAGTCACTCTTGGGCTTTCCAGGGGTTTCATCACCAGGGAGTGCAAAAGATGCAAAGCAGAACACAGACCTTGTGCCACTAACCTTCTACTCCGTGTGCCCTATGGTAAGCAGGGCTGGACCAAATTCACTGTTCTAAACAGAGCCCTATCCAGGATTTGGGTCAGGAAGGCTTGTCCCTGTTTACCTGCTCCTTCAACCTTCCTTCCTCAATTACCAAAAGCACCCCTGAATTGGAATCTTCCTTAAAAATACAGGGAGAAGAATCTCTAGTAAAGCAACTCAGGTGCTTCACCTTCACTTAAAGCTTTCATTCTAACCTCACATGACAAGGAATGTTACTGACAACACATAAAAGCTGGTGGGGCTCCCAAGCGGTCCACGAAGCAACAGAAAGATAAAAGGTAGTACCTGCAGGAAGTAGGAACTCATGGGATCCTCCTTGCTGTCCTCGTTGTAGTACAGTCCTCCGACAATGAAGATCTGATTCTCCCTGGTCACCAGACTGATGTGGTTCTTTGGGATTTGAGTGGACAGGGAGGCAAAATAGCACTCGTTGGCATTGGGGTCATAGGCCACTGCCCCGCTGTCGCTCACCATGAAAATGAGGTCCTGCAGGAACATCCCGAAGCGCATGGTGTCATTTAAGATCCCGGGGAGAGCGTCCTCCTCCGCGTCTCCCTCCTCATCTACTGCTCCGTTGACAACGTTGTCCTTCGCTTGGTTTTCACTGTTTTTCTTCACCTTCTTCTTCTTCACCACGGTGAATTTGCCCTTCTGGGCGTCCTTCACCATCTGCAGCTTCTTGAGGAGCTCGGGGCTGGACTTCACCACGCTGTGCTTCTCCACGTGGTCCCTGATGTAGTCGTTGGGCATGAGGCGGAAGCGGATGCTCTCGAAGACGACGGGCAGGGCCTTCTGCCGGCTCTCGCAGTCCTTGGTCCCCACCCACCTCATCACCACCTCGAAGACGGTCTCCTCTTTCTCCACGTTGAGGGAGTCGCTGGAGATGATGGCGATGAGCTCGTCGGGGGAGAGCTGGTAGAACTCCTCGTCGCGGGAGACCAGCGCGAAGCGGTCGCAGATGAAATCCCGGGCGGCCACGGCCAGCCGGGCGCAGTCCAGCATCAGCCCCAGCCGGAAGATGGCCAGGCAGTTGCTGAGGCACAGCCTCTTCTGCAGGAAGGACACGCACACGGTGAAGATGGAGGGGATCTGGAACATGTTGGCCACGGAGAAGATGTCCTGCACGTTCTGCTCCGTGATCTCCAGCTCCGAGGTGTAGATGTAGTGGAGGATCTTGCCCATGACGTCCGGATCGACGTCTTCCAGACTTATCTCCCTCTTCTTGCTCTCTTCCATGTCTGAGAGGAACATGGCTCGGAAATAGGGGCTGCAGGCTGCCAGCACCAGCCGGTGGCAGGGAAACTCCTTCCCTTTGACTTTCAAGACACAGTCCAGGAACTTATTGTGGTCCAACATGTCTTTGAGTCCATCCTGGAGGAGAGTTTGCTGGTAGAGACGCAATTCTTCCACTTGATCAAGAGGCAAACCCATGGCGAGGAGCGGCCGCTCGTCCTTTTTACCCCAGTCCTCCTTTTCCAGGGATATATTTGTGGATATTACCTGAGCCCCCGGGGAAGAAACTTGCTCTCAAAGCAGGGCTCTCAGCCTGCCTTGCTTCCAGACCTCTGGCACACCGGGAATGTGAAGCTCTTGCTACTATTGCAGCTGTCTGTGTACTTCAGCCTCCAGGGCAGGGCTTTATATATAGAGCCGGCGCTGCAGAGCTTAAGGAATCCATAGTGCAGCATGTGTAAGCCGATCACCCTTTAATATGACACACTGGACAGGGAGGAAGGGAGGGGGGGCTTGGGGGAGGGGGGAACAGCTGTAATTCCAGCCCCAGTAATTCAGGAAGGGTCTGTCAGTTCATGAGTCACCGGGGTTGGGGGGGAGGAGAGGGAGCTGTCACTGCCGTGACACAGCGAGACCCGCTCAGGGAAAGGCCCCTGGGGTGAATCAAACGCCCAAATCCGCCCTCTGGGTCACCAGAGGCAGCGCTGAGACTTTCTCCAGAATGGCTCTAAAGGGGACTGCTCCGGAGCTGCCAAACCTTTGGCTGTGCTAAAAATAGGTCGTGAAGTCAAAGATGCGCTGAGGGAGCGTCTTACGTGGGCTTTGTGGCACCCCCAGCTCCAGCCAGCGCCCTCCCAGGGATGCTTTGCTGCACAGGTTTGCCCTTTGTTCTCCTCTGGAGTCACTTTTCAGGAGCCTGGAAGGGGGTGGAAAATGGAGATGGAGCTGTTTATTTTACAGCCCTGTGTGGGATACGAGGCCTGTGCTGGAAGTTACTTGAGAAGTCTCACTAAAGGAGGAGATCTGAGGGTTGTGGGAGAGGGATGGTTCTCTTTGCCTGCAGTAGGTGGTGGAATCACCATCCTTGGAGGTGCTTAAGGAAAGACAGGATGTGGCACTGATTGCCATGGTCTGGTTGACATGCTGGTGATCAGTCATGGGTTGGACTCGACCATCTCAGAGGTCTTTTCCAACCTAAAGGATTCTGTGATTCTGTAATACGTGCATGGTGTCCAGAGTCTCTGGGCACCCTGTCATCAATAAATTTATCTTTTCCACACCTTGGTGACTGAGAGAGCGTCTGTGGCAGAACAGAAGTACAGGAAATGCAATGGGGGGCTTCAGCTCACGCATTAGGATGTCTAAAGACAAGTACCTTCTAGTAAATTGAGGGTCTCCTGCTGAGGTCTTCTGATTCAACACCCCCGTGATGAAGACTGGAGCAGCATCAGGACAACCTGAGCTGATGATCCAGAGTGGCTGAGTTCTCCAGCAGGTCTTGTGTCCTCCTGGCATGCCTGTGTAGGCCTAGGGAGCCCCATGGGTCCCCAGATGGCCACTCCATCTCCATCTCTTCCCATGGAGCTCACAAAGAAGCAAATTATTTTTGACAGATGTGGGCAAGCAGAGCAGCTCCAATTATTTATACCCATGGTAAAACTTGCACATGAATCTGTTTTATCTCTTACCATGGATCCTCCGGGCTTGCTGACACTCAGCGATGGCACAGATTTAATTAATGATTTAATTAAGCCTATGCAGAGATATTAGCCACTATTCTTGGTATATTTAAAGCCACATAACCCCTTACCCTGGCAGGGACGTATTTATAAAAATTGCCATGATGATTATCTGCATAAGTGGGAGAGGGAGGGAGCTGTACTGGTATGAAGCCCTTTTGTACTGGTGTGGTTCCAGCACCATCTGGGAGGTACCAATACAGCAGGAAAATAATCACAAGCTGTTTTCAGAGCTCACATCATAAGATCTTCTGCTGTGCTGCTCATCTGTGACAGGGATCAAACACCGAGTGCTGATCTTTGAACTGGGTCGAACTTCAGAAATCTTTCTCTCTGCTCCCTTGACATCTGGGGCTGGACACCCCCACCCTCCCCTCTGCCCTCCCTCTGCACTGGCTCTGCTCTATCCCAAGTTTAATCCAGTGTTGTTGTGCTACCAGCTGGGATTTCCAACCCCCTCCCTCTGCCTTTAATCTCCCTTGAGCCCTGGGTTGTTTTCCTTTTCGCTGTGCTGCCATCTGACTTTTGCCTCCATGTTCTGTGCATCACGAGGTGCTGCTGCAAAAATGCAGCTACAGCCCCTTCCTTCCCAGAGCAGCTCTGACCCTTCAGTGGGTCTCTGGCATCTCTCAGGTTTGTGGTTCACCCAGGGAAAGGGCGCTGTGCTGGTCCCAAACCTGCTCTGGGTTCTCCACTTGTTTCAGTGACCTTGCACAGCAGCTGGACCAGCCCCAAGGCTTGGGGGAGCAGCTCGAGCACTGTGTCCCCCACATCTAACAGGGATACAGCCACTGGCTTCCAGTGATCAACAACCAGTTATTAAATGTGTCCCTAAGTGGGCAACAACCCCCTCATGACATGGCAGCAGGTGAATGTCCTGGTTTTGGCTGACACAGAGTTCCTTTTCTTCCCAGTAGCTGCTACAGTGTTGTGTTTTCTGATTTAGGGTGAGAACAGTGCTGACACCACCCAGACGTTCTGGCTCTTGCTGAGCAGTTCTCACCTTACGCCAAGGACTCACCAGTGTCTCAATCTTTGCCAATGAGGGGCTGCACAAAAAGCTGGGAAGCAGCACGGCCAGGAGAGCTCACCTGAACTGGCCAGAGGGATATTCCAGACCACAGAATGTCATTCCCGGTATATAAAACCATGGGAAGTTACCCAGGAGGGGGCCTGGTCTGCTCAGAGCAGGTCAATTGCTGTTTGGAGGCAGGCTGGGCATCAGTCAGTGGGTGGTAATTGTATTGTGCATCACTTGTTTCTCCTGGGTTCTGTTACTATTATTATTATCATCATCTTTTGTTTCAAATATTAAACTCTTCTTACCTCACACGAGGTTTACCTGTTTACTTTTTCTTTTCTTTCCAGTTTGCCTCCCCATGGGGGCTGAGGAGGGTGCAGGGGGAGTGAATGACAGGCCGTGTAGTGTTTAATTGCCAGCTGGGATTAAGCCATGACAGTGAGGATGCATGGAAAGCATCCTAAGGGGATGCAGAGTAGCAGGATCACTCCCTACCCATACAAAATTTTAGGACAAGGAAGGTGAATGCAGGAATTGTAGCCACGTCAGGCTGATCAAGAAAGTGTCTAGTGCAGGGCTATTAACTGGGATTTGTAACTGCAGTGAATAATTGGCTTTTCTTGGCTTCTTGGGTGAGTTTTATGGAAAAAAAACAACAACAACCTGATGAGATGAGGTGCTGTTCTCCAGGAGAGAGATGAGGAGTGGATCCATTCCATTCTAGTGGGCATTCAGTGAGGCTGAGGGTCTCCTGTGCAAGGCTGCTCCTGGCCCACCAGACCCCCTGGGCTTGTCCGAGCAGTGACCCTGAGGGGACAACTTTGGGTAAAGGAGGGCAAAGCCCAAGCTCTCCCCTGGACTGTGTCTAACAGGTCACTGGCTGGGCTGGTGTCTAAGATTAGCTCCTTCTGGCAGCTTCAGCAGATGCAGCTGCTGGGTAAATATAGATCCTTAGTGAATGGGCTATTTTCACTGCTGGAGTATCCAAGTCAGGAGGGCAGTGCAGAGTCACCGGGCCGTGCCTTGTGCGTCACCCACTTGGACACCGGGAGGTGACTCTGTTTGTCCCGCTGGGCCTGAGCTGAGCCACCCCCAGGACACAGCCCTTGGCCTCAGCACCTCAGGGTGGAGGAGAAGAGATTAGTTTCTCCCTGGAAGAAAGCACGTCCTGTTAGGGTGGAAAAACTAAACCTGAAACAATGGAGGGGCCAAGAAACATCTTCCAGAAGTCCAGCAGCAGACCTGCATTAAAAAGGTGCCTGACAGCTAAAGGGGTTTTAGGGGGGTGAGGAGATGCCATCAAGGCACAATACCTGCCCTTAATTTCAACATTTTTGGTCAGGCTCCCAGAAAAAAACCCTATATAGCTCCTAACCGAAAACCCACATAAAGGGCGATTTGATGGCCACAGGCTCCAGGTATTTCAGCAGCACAAAGGTGGAGCCAAAATAAAGGTGAGAGTGAATCAAGCTGCAGCCCAGCCTCCAATCTGGTGATGCCACCAAGGTGGGTTTCTGCCAAAGTCCGTAATGTCACAATTTGGGGCGGGAGGTGAGGACCTGCAAAGAGATCCTGGTGATGGCTGGGGTGTCACCTGCAGTACAGCAGCAGAACGGGGATGAGCAGCAGGGGCCAGAGTCGTTCAACGTTTATTCACTACATAAAGAAGTGACATTTACCAGGGACTTCACAAATTACTTTGGCAGAGCTGAAAGCTGGCTAGGAACTGATCCTGCTCCATCCACAGGGAAGCCAGAACACACCAGCACCAATATCCACATTGCGAAGGGGTCCAGATTCTGCCCTCGCCAAACACCGACACATCTCGGACATAAGGCCACTGAAAGTTACTCTAAAGTGCAAGAGAGCCAGAGCTACTTTGAAGTTATTAACCCCCCCACCTTTTCCCCAAGGCACCGTGTTTCACACACTCCCGTGCTGCGTCCCAAAGTCTGCTTCTCCAAGGAGTCTCCCATGGGCTTCCCCCCCAGCCCCGACTCACTGCCCCTCATCCAGGGTCTTTCTCCTCTGGTTGTGTTTGCCTGTGTGCTCACTCAGCCGTGCAGGCATGGCCTTGGGCTGTGCACACCAAAGGAAGCTGAGAAAAGGGGTGGGTGGCTGGAGGAGAGTGGCTACAGCATCTTCTGTCCCTCAGCCATGGGCGGGAACGTGAGTTCAAACCTCAGTCCATAGCATAAAAAAAAGTACAGAAGGGTGATTTGGCTTGAGTCCCAGGACGTGTGGCACAGCAGGGCGGTTGTGGTGGCCACTCAGTCTCAGAGCCAGCAGTGGAGAGCCCTTAGGGCTTGATCTGGGGCCTGGGGACCAGGCAGCTGTGGGCCACGTGTTGTGTTTCTTTGGCATCCTCGCTCCCCGTGTGAGCTGTAGACGATGCACAACGGCTGTGAAGCACTTTGGCTTCCTGGTGTTGGCACTAAATCACTTTTTTTGGAGATATTTATCCATGAAGGGACCTGTGTTTCATAGAGATTGTCACACCCACCCACCGCCATGCACGGCTGACAGAGGTGGGGAGAGAGTCACCCTCCCATGTGTCCTTCCTGGTCCTCCTTCCCTTTGCTGTAAAGCCTCTACTATTAATTTACTACCTCTTGGCAGGAGAGGATCCTGCTGAGCCCTTTCACAGCCCTCACTGCACAGCCACAGGAGCTGAACCCCGCACAGTAAATCAGATCATGTCCTGTGGTGAAGGGAACAGGGGATTGAGATGGTCTGCTCAGAGCAGGCTCAGCCCCAGCTAATCCTTTTCTCAGTGTCCTGGGCCACCCTAAAACCTCCAGCCATGGGACTTGGAGGGTCTCCTCAGGGAAACATGAGCTACACGTCCCGTGGGAGAGCCGAGTGTTGGTGGACCAAGTGTTGTGGGTGACGTCTCTAGGCCTGCACGATGTCAGAGGGTCAGAAAAACCATGGGATGGGCTCTACCTGGCATTAAAGAAACATCCTGGGAGCTGCCTGGGGAGCCTGTGAAACGCCCACTGTGCCTGATGGAAAATCCTTCCTGCAGCAAGGGGGTGAGCGGTGCCTTCCCGGTGACCTCTACAAGGGTGAGCTACAAGTCCGATTGTCAGGAGGGCCTGGAGAGCCCCAGCCAGGGGCTGACCTGGCAGCAGGTGGCTGGAAGGGAGACAAGGCTTTGGGATAAGCCTGCTGACGCCTCCCCTACTCCATCTTTGCCTTGTCACCCTTCTCCTCCTCCTGGATGGCCAGGATGCGCTCGCGCTCTTTGATCAGCTGCACTCCACAGTACGTGATGAACCAGATGGACAAGGTGCTGACAGGGAAACCTAGGAGAGGGAGGGAGACATGGTCATCCTGGTGTGGTTCCACGCCCAAAGAGGACAATTCTCCACCAGCACTGCCGCCTCTCAGGTGGGCTCGGGAGGTCCCACAAGTTCATGAGGGCCAATGACATTTTTCATCCCAGATCCAGCCCCGCAGCTTCGCTGAGAGAAGAGAGAAATCCCCAGGGGCAGATTTTGGGTGAAGCTGTGCCTGAGCCCACCAAGGCACCAGGGACTGCAATCAATGTGGGAACACAGCTTTGAGCCCTCTCTTATCCCCAAAACTCCTTCTGCTCCTCAAGTTCAGACATGGTGGTTGACTTTCTCCCCATTCAATCTGCCCGTTGCTCAACGCTGTGACCTTCTGGAAGCTTTGGGGCCCCAATGACGCTGAGGATCAAGCCCAGCCTCGTGCTGTACTTCGTGGGGACACAGTGTCCACCCAGGAAAACACGTATTTTTGTCACCCACGTCAGTGACTGAGAACCAGGAGCTCTCCCTCCGCTTAGGAAGGGTCTGACAGCATCTGCCATCACAAACCCTGTATCCACAGCAGAGGGGAGATACAGGGCTTGCTCCTGCTAAAACAGGACCTCTGAAATGAATAATGCAACCAGCAAAAGCCAGCTGGCTCAGCAGGCAGGCACTCCTGGCACACTGAGCCCGGAGTATGACATTATCCGTTCCCCATGCCAGCCCCATCCCAGGGAAGGCTGGAGGACGTGGGCTCTCGATGGCTATTTATACCCTGGGCAGCTCCAGAAGACTTCAAAATAGTGCCAGCATCCACTGATTAGAAATGCACAGGCTGCAGGATGAGGATTTGTACCTGTCACCTTCAGGTTGGTGCAGGAACAGCTGCCAGAGCAAAGGGGATGAGGCAGGACAAGCAAACTCCTTTCTCCAGCAAGGGGAGCATTTCACAGTCAGGGGCTCAGGTTGGTGGGGTGAGTGTGACCTTTGCAGTGCTCCAAGGAGCCTAAATCAGTGCCAGGCTGTGCCAGGAGCTGTACAAGCACACCTGGAAGGCAGCTTGGACCCCAAAGTGCTCTCATGGGGAGGGTTGGGAGCTCAGAAACCACTGCCTGCACTTATTTCATGAGAATTAAGCACATTTAGAGCAGCCACGCAACAAGCTGGGCCAGTCTGGACCCCAGAGGACCCAAAAGTCACCGTCTCAGGCTCCCCTCCCAGTCCCCATGAAGTCAAGGGCCCCTCAGTGGGGCAGGCTGGGAGCACCTTACCCGTCACGAGGAGCCTCTTGGTCACCAGCAGCGCAAAGTCCAGGCTGCTGAGGGCAGGGATGTTGTAGAGGACGATGGCCCAGAAATTCACCGCCCCGAAAGCCGCCCGGATCCGCCGAGACATGGCCCCCGACAGCTTGGCCTGCGGAGGGGAGAGGAGCAGAGCCCTGAGGGAAAACGGGGCTGCAAGGAAAGGGGAGGCACTGGCCCAGCTCCAGCTGGGATTCCAGAGGGGAGGAAAAAGGTCAGAGCAGCCTTAAGTGCCTCTGGGGTGAAGAAATGCAAGGACAAGGCAAAACATCTGCTCGGCTGCCTCGGGGGCTCCGGGCTGGTGTTTCAGGGTCCCACGAGTAGGGGCAAGATGTTAGGCATAGTTTTATGCTAATTGTAGAATCACAGGGTGGTTTGGGCTGGAAGGGGCCTTAAAACTCATCCAGTTCCAACTCCTTGCCATGGGCAGGGACACCTTCCACCAGCCCAGGTTGCTCCAAGTTTATCCAATTTGGCCTTGGACACTCTCAGGGATGGGGCAGCCACAGCTTCTCTAGGCAACCTGTGCCAGGAATTCCCCACCCTCTCAGCCCAAGAATTCCTTCCCAATATCCCACCTAACCCTGCCCTCCGGCAGTTTGAAGCCATTCCCCTTCATCCTGTCACTCCATGCCCTTGTCCCTCTCCATTTCTCTTGGAGCCCCTTTAGGAATGAAATGGCTGGGTGAGCCATTCCTAAAAGCAGAGGAATGCTGTGGTATACCAGGACTATTATTATTACTATTATTATTATTATTATTATTATTATTATTATTATTATTATTATCCCTACATGGAAATCACTCCCAGGTCCTGGTAAAGTTTCTCAGGAATTAAAAAAAAAAAAAAAAAAAAAAAAAAAAAAAAAAAAAAAAAAAAAAAAAAAAAAAAAAAAAAAAAAAAAAAAAAAAAAAAAAAAAAAAAAAAAAAGGCAAAAAAAAAAAAAGCTGACAACTGGTGACAGCAGCAGAGTGAAATTGTCACTGGCACATAACCCTCAGGAGCTGCTGCTGAGAGTGGAGCAGGGAAGGGGTTTATATCAGTCTTCAAAGAGCACAGTGAATCCCCAGGCCACTTAGTGCTGAGAATTGTGGTGCCACAGGGAAGGAGATTTCACTGCCTGTGAGAGCCTTAATCTGATTAGAAGTTCAACAAGGAGAGCAAACGGGAGGATTGCTCTCCACTGTTTGTACTCAGAATGGATCTTTTATTTAGCCAGTTTAGGATCTCCAGACTTGGGGCTGAGCAAAACAAATAAGGGACATAATTGCTTCCAGGATGGAGTTTCCTGAGCTTTTCTTCCCATGTGTCCCTGAGACACCTCGGTCTCAAACAAACAGAGACGGACTTTGAAATATCTGGGAAATAATTTTTTCTAGTACCTAAAAATTGTTTTTATAAGAGATTAGATCAAAACCACTCCGAATGCCAAGACGTTTTGCGGAACAAGAAGAACAAATTATTTCCATGTGGAAATATAAAACCATTTCCCCACAGAGTCACAGAATACGGATATTCCCCACAGAATATTCCCCGTGTGTCCATGTGGGAAATATTTGAGTTTTTCCCCGTGGACAGAGCTCAGACTTTGTGCCCCTCTGTGGTACTTTGATGCCTCATTGGAGCTGCATTCCTGCTTCTCTCGGACTTGTGTTTTCCCTCTGAAAGCTTCACCTCAACCTAAGTTTCCCAGGAAGCGTCGCAGGGGCAGGTGGGAGTTTGCTCTGGGTGGGTGACAGAGAACATAAAATAAAGGGGATACAGAGCACCAGGACTGTGATCTCAAGGATGCTCCAGGGACAATCCCTGGAAGTGTTCAAAGAACACGTGGATGTGGCACTGGAGGACACGGTTAAGGGGTGAACACGGTGGTGCTGGGCTGAGGGTTGGATTTGACCATCTCAGAGGTCTTTTCCAACCTTAATGATTCTGGGACCTCAAAGGCCACAGGAAAGAGCTTCAGGAGGCCAGGACATGGAGCCTCACGGCACCATCAGGGATTCTGCTCTTTAACCTCAGCTCAAAACGGACCTGACTCGTACAAACCAAGTCTGAGTTCCCTAAATTCATGCTGCTTCCCAGCACCAGAGTTCGGCCCCAGACTCACTGGCCTTCCCCCATCTCCTTGCAGCCCAGCCCCTCACCTCCAGTTTGGCAAAGGGCCCCAGCTGGAAGAACTTCTGCACCCAGAGCTCGAAGTTGAGGCCGAAGCAGTTGACGACAGACCAGATGTAAACGACCTCACAGGGCCCCAGCCACAGGGTGGTGACAGCAAAGGTGGTGACACTGGCCACGAGCTCCTTCAGGATGCTGTCATGGTTCTCTCCAATGTGATCATACACGTACCTGATGGCCAAGGAAAGGGGTTGGTGCTGCCTGGAGTCGGGGAATACCCTCTGGAATCCCTTATTCCACACCCCCCCACCACAGGCTCCTCACAGGCAGGTCAATCCAGAGCACCCAGTGGGAGAGGGAGGATGTCCTGTCTGACACATTCTGGATTTTTGCCTCATCCCAGCTGCTTGTGGCTCACGTTCCTCACAAAATTCCCCCCTTTTCTCCTCCAGCAGGTAAATGGTTGATAAAACTTTGGGACTTGTAGAGCCTCAGGCTCTCTCAGACTTGTTGGTGCTCAGGATTTGACTGCAGAGCAGCCACTGCCTTCACAACAGGTTTGCTGGTGTGCACTTAAGGGAGTGGTAGATGGAGCTACAGGATATGGGAGATCTGGGCTCAATTCCCTTTTCTCCTGGTGGAATATGAACCTGACTCTTCCCCCCATCGAGGGAACGCTGAACCCACCAGACTTAAAGGGATTTCTGGGACAGGACTCTCTTATTCCCAGCTTTGGAAGAAGGGGCTGCTGCTCTTTGTGGCAATTAATGCAACAGGTCTGGGGCTAAACAGAGAAAATAGTGGGGATTCACCCAGAAGGAGGGGACAGCACAGCTTTGGGATGAACAGCATTTGATGCTTCACTAGTGTGTGATGAAAGAGAAGACCCCAAACCAGGCTAGAGGTGCTCAATGAGACACTTACTTGCACAGCCAGTCATTAATCCCTCTGTCAAAATGCCTGAAATGCAGATGATAAAAAACATGTTAAAACACACAGCGAAGATGACGAAATACACGTTCAAACACCCAGTCCCCTGGTGAGGCACTCCCTGGACCTTGTTTAACTTCTCCCCTCGTTCCTGCCCAGGAATATTTCCCTGGGCTGTGCCAGGTCCTGACTTGGGAGGTTCAGCAGGGGCTGTTCACTGCAGGCGGTCCCCAGCTCTCAGCCCCACCTCCTCAGAGGAACAGCCCCGATGTTCTCCCCGCTCCCTGCACGTTTTGCTCAGCTCAGAACCCTCCATCCCTCTCCCCTCTGCGAGTGTGGGGTGCTCACGTCTCTGCGAAGATGTAGAGCATGGTGATGCATTTTGGGGGCTGGGGCGGGTCCAGGTGGTCCAGTCTGGCGATGGTGTTGATGACCCCAAACATGACAGCAGCTTTCACCCAGTCATACACCAGATTGGAGTAGGCCAGGCCAGCTGGAGCAAAAAAACGAGAGTCAAACTGTTGAAGAGGAACATGAGATGCATCACCCTCATCATTGTGTCCCACGGGAGCATGAAGTCTGCTGCAACAAACATAACATCAAGGGGGCAGTCTAATGCTGCCTTTGACCAGCAAAACTTTTAAACCCAAGTTTTTTAGGAAGCTTTAACCAAAGGACAGTCTCTTCTTCCTCAGGGCGTTTGGGAGCAAACTGTTAATTTGCCTTGGTAGTCTTAAAACATTCTGTACATACAGTCATTGATTCCACCACAAGATTGTTCCTTCCCTCTTGGGCTTGATAACCCATGGTAAAATCACCACGGTGATTCCATCAGCTCTGCCCTCTCAGGTTTTGCTGGCACCTCCATCAAAATGTCCCCTGTGGCCGTAGAAGTAACACTGGTGCTACAGCAGAGCCAGGGCCAGAACCTCTGCCTTGGAGAGGTGTCTGACACTGGGAGACAAACCCTGCAGGACCGGACACTAAAGATGGCAAATTCCTGTGCAAGCAGGAGGTGAAATGTCCCTATCCTGGTGGGATTCAGCTCTCAGCTCAAGGGCCATGCAGTGCCTCGATGCTCCCACCATGGACCAGCCAGATGGGATCAGGACAGTCAGAATAGCTCAGCTCCCTCTGCAGTCACACATGCTAGGTCAGTCCCCCCAGGTCTCTTAGGACACCCTATATCAGTGCTAGTGCCATTCCAGCTGCATTAGGATTCTATTCTGCCCTCCAGCTGCCGCTCTGGAGAGATGTGGGGCTCCTCCAGCCCCTGCTTGTCCTCTGCCTCGTGGGTGGTGCCTCAAATGCTGCCCTCGGGTGTGTATTTGACCAGTTGAAATCCTCCACCCAGCTGCCAGCTGAATTCCAGCCCTGCTACCACCAATCACCCTGGGAGTTTGGCTTTTGGAGGTCCCTAATCCAGCCCTGCTACCACCCATCACCCTGGGACTTTGGCTTTTGGAGGTCCCTCGTCCAGCCCTGCTTAGAGAGCAGCCAGCTTTAAATGAAGATTACACTGCTCCGAACATTTTCCATTTCAGGATTAAATATGAGTATTTTGGGATAATCTGTAACCCCTCTGGGCCCCTATTCCCACATCTGACCACTCTATGAACAACATTCCCTACATGCAACCAGGCTTTGCCTTGCTGCACGTTCTTTGCTGTGTCCTGGTGCCACTCACCCAGGGACCAGTCCGAGAGGCGGGTGACGAACTTCAGGTCGGAAGGGAGGGTGAGGATGTAGAAGAAGTGGAAGAAGATGTCCACGGCCACCACGGCCCCCGCGTGCAGGAGGGCGTTGACCCGGATGCTCCTCATCTCGTCGTCTCTGCGCCTCAGCTCCCGCGTGCTCACCTGCCAGGAGTCCAGCAGAGCAGCCACAGGGTGAGACACAGCACGGACAGCTCTGGCTGTGCCACCCCCAGGTGGGGCGAAACCCGTACCCACCAGGGAACTCCCAGGGGTTTCTGTTCTTTCTGCTCAGAAAAATCAACTTCACGCTTGAGGACGGCCCCTTGCGAAGAGGGAGCAAAGTGTCCATTCCCATCACATCCAAAGGATGGGATTCCAGGCACGGAATCCCACCTGACAGCTCCACCACTACGTAATTTTGGCCAGGGTCATTTGGGAGGAGGAGGAGGATGAGTGATGATTTTGGATCTCCTGCTGTAAATGAGAAGGTGAGCTGCTCGAGGGGCCGCCCCGAATTGGTGGGACCCGACTGATGGGGATTTCATCTCTGCCGTGTCTTGTGCAAACAGGGGCCAGGCTTTGCCTCCAGGAGCTGTCACATCTCTGGTCCTTGTGATATAAACATCATCAGAGGGAGCTTTCAGGATTACACCGGGCAGAGCCATGTCCTTGCTTCCCCGCACCGCCGTGAAATCGCTGCTGTATCCAAAATCCTCTTATGTTTATTACTTTCCCTTTATTCCCTGCGAGAGGTGGGAGCTCTCCCTGCATAATCCACAGGCTGCCTCACCAGCCCTGTTGTCAAATCCAGATGATTCCCGGGAATTAAAGCCTTTGCCAGATTTTTTTCTGTGCCCGTTCTAAGCCAGGTGCTTTAAGGATACGGAGACGTCGCTGGACCCTGGGCTGGAGGAGCAGCTGAGGGAGGACAGGCTGTGGTATGGAGACACAGAGCCCTCCTTCCACAGGGTCACAGAACCATTTAGGTTGGAAAAATCCATTAAGACCATTGAGTCCAACCATTATCCCAACGCTGCCAAGGCCACCACTAAACCCTGTCCCCAAGTGCCACATCTACAAGTCTTCTAAACCCTTCCAGCAACAGTGACTCCACCACTTCCCTGGGCAGCCTGTTCCAGTGACTGACCACTATTTCCACGAAGGAATTTTCCCAAATCTCCCAATCTAAACCTCCCTTGGTGCAGCTCGAGGTTGTTTCCTCCCATCCTCATGTCTGTGTGTGGTGGCACCACTTGGTCACCGTCGCCTTGGGATCAGGGCTGTGTCCCCCACACTCCCAACCCTACAGAAGGGAATTTGTCCCCTTGATCTTAGCGTGGAAGACGCTTCTCAGCTCAAACTGGGTTGGCCAAGCCCTGGTGCAGATGAATTTCTATCTCCCAGGGGGTTACAAGAGCTCCACCAGGATGCAGGGCCAGTAGGAGCCAAAGGGACAGATCTGTTCCCTAACTGGGCCATACACCCCACCCTGGGGAAGGGTTCTCTCTGCCTCCTGCTCTAATTGCTCTTGGGCAATTAAGAACTCACCTCTGCAATCAGCTGCAGCTCCGGCAGTGCAGGGGGGATGCAGCCAGGAGATGGCAGTGGTGGCCAGGCCAACACAGGACCCTTGGCCGGGGCATGGGAAAGGGGTTGGGGACTTAATCCTTGTGCCTCTGGGGTGAGCATTCTAAGCAGAAGAGGGGAGAATTGCCCATTAAGTGGCTTTAGACATCCCAGTTTGGGGCTGTGCAAAGGAATGAGAAATAAAACTTCCCCCCAGATCGAGCCTGGTAGGAAGGGTGGGAGTTCAAGGAGGAACTGAATGTCCCAGTTTGTAGGTAGCTGGCTGCATCCCTTAAGGGGACACCAGCGCTGACCTCATGATCTTCAGGGTCAAATGCTCTAAAAACCCTTTCAGTAGGTCCTGCAGGACCTGAGGGCTCTTATTCCTTTCAGCAGGCACCACGAGGTTGTGAGTTCCCCGTGGGAACAAACCAGCAAGGAGCAGGACTCGGATCAAGGCTCATCCTGGAGGAAACAAGCCCAGTGCAGACCCTTTCTTAGGTGACCAGTGCAGGCCCCACGTTGGAGAGAAGGTGCTGGGCTGGTGGGTTTTTGGTCCTCTCACCACGAGGCTCTGGCTGCTCTCCCCTGCCCTGGGCTGCTTTTTCTCTGGAATTCACCAAAGTGTTTTCCAAAATGCTTCTACGCTCAGGCATTAATTGGGGGCAAAAAATTCAGTGTAACTCTTTTTCTTCAAAAGGAACCAGAGGGGTGGTGGGAATCCCCCTCAGGAAGAGGTCCCTCCCTTGGCCAGCAGCACCAGTTTGCTTTGACAACCAAAACGACGTTGAGATGGGAAGAAGAGAGGAGGGAGAGATCAATCACTGCTGGTTTCCTTGATCCCTGCCTGTGGAACAGCTCCAGAGATTGGCTGGCCCCAGCCCAGGCTTCTGCTGAGGAGTCTGCTCATCCAAAAGCTCCCTTGGTTTTGTGGTACAGCCAAAGATTTGGGGCATCAGAATATTTCATGGAGCAGAGAGGAAGCCCCTGATTGTTGAAACACGACCTTCCACCCAATCTTAGGTATTTCTAGAGAAAGAAGTCCACTTCTGGCCCTCACTGTGGCCTCCTGGCACTGCTCAGTGGGGCAGCAGGAAGATGCTGGGGTGACAACACAAGGATGCTGGGGCACCAAGCAGGAGGACATGGGCTGGACACTCCCTTTCATCGCTGCCCTCATGAAACAGCCAAAAGCCCAAAAAGAAGGTTAAACCCCCATCAGTTTATGCCCTTTCCCACAAAAATCACAGCATTATGCACAGCCCAGACCATGGCCACAGGCTCTAGGTGACCACATGAAGTCCTACAACCACTTTCACCTTCAGTGAGGCTTTTTTTGGTGGGAATTAAACCCAAGCAAATAAACACAGGAAGCCTCAGGAGCACTCACCTGGGCATGGAACTGGTCAAAGGTCATGACAGGCCCAAAGAAGAAGAAGGGGAGGTAGAAGTTGTACTTGAGGAGGTCGAAGATGGAGTAGATGCCCTCTTTCCTCTCAGAGCTCTCGAGGGCAAAGCTCATGCAGCGCATGATGGTGAAGGTGCTGCCCCCGTAGAAAAGGACGTCTTGGAGATCAAAAGCTCCCGTCACAAACCCGCTCTGGATGAGAAACCGAGAGTTACCACAGGGAACGTGGTGTCCCTCCCGCCCTCCTCTGCTTTGTGGGGGACAGCGCAGAATCACAGATTGGTTTGGGCTGGAAGGGACCTTGAGGATCATCTCTTTCCAATCCTTTGCCATGGGCAAGGACACCTTCCACCAGCCCAGGTTGCTCCAAGCCCTGTCCAACCTGGCCTTGGACACTTCCAGGGATCCAGGGGCAGCCACAGCTTCTCTGGGCAACCTGTGCCAGGGCCTCACTACCCACACAATGACAAATTTCTTCCCAACATCTCATCTAACCCTGACCTCTTTCAGTTTAGTTTGCAGTTCAGGCAAAACCTCTAATTATGCTCTGACACCAATTGTCTCTGGAGTGAATGAGCTGGAAAGAGGAAACTGGGGCTTGATTTCCCAGCTGGCTCCTGCATCCCAGAGCAGCCAGGAAGTGCTGGATCCTCTTGGCCATGTGGTCACCAAGCAGCTGTTGGTCTGGGGTGGGTCCCTGTCACAGGGACATGACCTCCCCAGCCAGCACAAGGTCCATGGAGAGGGACTGAGTAGCTTGATAAAGTCCTTCCTGGGCTTCACTCTCCACCCACCACGGAGACAAAATCTTAACTGGGCTGTGACCTAAGAGATGGACTCCACTGAGTCCATCCCAGCTCTGTCTTACAGGTGGGGAAACTGAGGCACAGGGCAGGAACATGTCTTGCCTGGCTGACAAACTGTTGCCTGGGCAGCAAGGAGGACTCAGGTGCCCTGAGCTCTGCATCATGAAGCCACCAAAACACGACACAGTCCCCATGGGAATATTCCCAAGCTCAGCTGCACAATAACCCCCTCCCTCTCAAACACTCTGGGAGCTCTGACTCCAGGAGGAATGACAGGGTCTGGGGGTGTCCCAGGAGCCCTCTTTGGAGAAAAACCCAAGGATATGGACACGAGAGGGCTGGAAATGAGGCCGACACAGGGCCTGGCCAGCACCCACCTGCCACGAGCCAAACGGCTCCACCTTGAAGGAGGCGAGACAGCAGAGCCCGGCCACGTAGCAGAGCCACTTCTGCTTGGCCAGCGCCACGGAGTAGAGGACAAGGCAGTGGGAGAGGATGATCATCAGGTAGACCAGCCCCATGCTGCCCAGCACGGCCAGGGCCCCGTAGATCATGTACATCACAGCCCGGTGCTGCGGGAGAGAGCCGTGCCCGGGGTCAGCCTGGGGAAAGCACCGAGCCCAGAACATCCCCCCATCCTCCACAGATCCCAGCTCCCCCCTGGTGCTTTCACACCCACCCCACCCCCCAGAGCCCTGGCTCACCTGTGGCACCGTCATGGAGCAGATCTTGCCGAAGAGGACGTGCCCCGAGAGCGCGAAGATGATGACGTTCCGGAACGAGGTGAACCACATCACCCACTCGAAATCGGCCACGTCCTGCGGGAGCAGCGCCGGGGCAGCTCACACCCCTGAGCCAGCCATGCAACCTTCACAGCCTCCCCTTTCCCATTTTTCCACCCACAGGCTCTCCCAAGGGCTTCAGCTCGGACGCAAAAGCCCAGGAGGGACGCGCAGAGGTTGCTCGTCCGGGCGCGCACAAAGCAGAGCATCCCCGGCCCTGCAGGGCTGGTCTTTTCCTGGCCACTTTAGGGACAAAAACACAAGTCACGTGGACTTTGCAGAAGTGTGTCAGCAGCAGAAAAAGCAGCTCTGCTTCTCCAGTGTCCAGCACTGACCACGTTGTCTGGAAAAGGCCGAGTCCTTCCCCTACTCACCATCTTCCTGCCGAAGTAATGCCAGCCTGGCTTTATTCCATCCCGAAAGGCCTTTCTGTTCATGCTGTCTGCAAAAAACAAAACAAAACAAAACAACAAACAAACAAACAAACAAAAAAACCAACAAACCCCACAGTTATGGGGAGAGAAACAGCTCTGGCAAATGAGGTCTGGGTTCAGGCAAGGCAGGGAGGCTTCATTGTGATAATGAGGAGCCATCAGGGCTCAAACACCCCCTCCCAAATTGCCACGGACAACCATCAGCAACCACGGATGTTTCTGCAGGAACTTCCAGCAAAGACTTTTTCCCAGGGCACATCCCCTGGCTGATCCCACGAAACTTGCAGGTTCAAACAAAAAAGTTGGGAGGCATTCCCACGTAGGCAGGGTGGTTGCCTGTTTGTCTGGGCACTGACTGGAGGGCTGGGACACCCCACAGCCTCTTGCCCTGAGCTGTGGAAAGGGGCACAAGGAGGCAACCAAGCAAAAAATCCCTTTGGAAATGATTTCCAAGCTGTTTTTCAGCGAGAATTAAAGCCAGGGATCTGCTGCTTGGTACTGAGAACTGGAGCAGCAGGCACCTCACTATCCTACCCATCCCCCCCTCCCAGGGACGTGGTGGGAAGTGTTACCTCTGGATGCTTCGAAGATGCCACTGCCACTGTAAACCACGGCACAGGTGACCACGAGGGCATAAAACCCCAGCTCGTAGTTGGGGAGCATCGTTTTAACCCCCATGGTGGCAGGTTACGGCACCAGCTGCCGCACGGGATCCACACCTGGGAAAAGGGAGAGAGGAGAGGGAAGGAAACCAGGGGGGAGAGCTCACCCGCCCTCCTACCCCCCCTAAACACCCTGAATTCCTGCTGCCCCTCCTCAGCTCTGCTTTGGGGGCTTTCTGGAAGGCTGGAAGCTGAAGGGAAGGACAAGGAGGGGTCACACCTGAGGGTGTGAACTCAGGTGCAAAGAGAGAAGTTGCTGTGAAACCCCACGCAGGAGCCAGGATTTGGGGGTGGCTCAGCCAGGTGTTCCTGATAAGGGGCTCTTCCCGTTCCTCCCGGTTTTCAGAGATGCTCCGGGATGCCAACTGTCCAGGATGGGTCTCCTCCAATGTGCCCCCCTTAACTCCTGGTTGGATCCTTGGAGGGGGTCCAGGAGAGAGCACAGAGACAGCAGTGGGGGAGAGGATGTGATGGGATGCCCCAACTCCTCTTCCCTGGGTTCTGCTCACCTTCTGCCGAGGTTTTGCCCAACCTCCGGCTCTTGGGTGGGCTCCAAGAGCCCCGTGGTGCAAAATTCCTCCCAGCCAGGAGCCTCAGGACGCCGCAGGCACATCTGAGCCTCCCGGCGGCATCTGCAGCGCTCGGGGGACGCCGACACCCAGCCCCGCAATTAGCCCTGCGCTAATTACTCCCGCCAAGGCTAATTAACCCCGGCGCGACGTGCCGTGCGGCTCCGCAGCCTCCCCAGTGCCTGTCCGGCAGCTGCCAAAACACGGTTCAGGGCTGGAGCAGCAGGGATGCGGGATGTGGGATGCGGGATGGGGGATGCTGAGGGGACAGGAACCACCCCCGCGCGTGGGGGCCCCCTGAGAGCAGCGAAGGGATTACGGAGTAAAGAGCGACCCCGGTCACTCTGTGCTTTGGCACCCGCATCTCAAAAGCTTCTGTGCGATTATTAAAGTGATTAAATGCAAAATTCAAAATAAATCATTAAAAAAAATTATCATTTTAGTTTTAAAGATTTACTTTTATTTGGTCACTGAGGTTTTTAAAGGCGGGCGGGGGCGGGGGGGGGTGTCACTGAGCAGCGATGCGGGGTGAGCCCTTCTCCCCGCAGCGTGGAACAAACGCGTTTCCCGGGGGAACTGGGGCTCAGCCCGGGGGGAAATCGGGGCTCAGCCCGGGGGGAAATCGGGGCTCAGCCTGGAGGGGAATTCGGGGGTCACCCCGCGGCCACTCCCGGTGCGGGGCCGCTGCGGGCGAGCGCTGCGGTTCCCCTGCGGCGGGAGGGCACACACGGACGTGCTTTTAAAAAGCTCTTCCCCCCTTCTTTTCCATGCGTTCCAAAGCTTTTGTTTGTTTGTTTGTTTGTTTTTGGAGGGGGAGCAAGGCCACCCCGCAAAGGAGCCGGCGGGAGGCGGTGAACGACCCTTTGTGGGGGCTGGCGGGGGATCTCTCGGACAAGTTTAACTCCCGATCGTCCCCAGGATGCCGAGTCAGGTGCACAGGGGGGTCCCCAGTGGTCCGAGAGGCTGCGGGGCATCCTCATCCTCATCACCATCCTCATCATCCCCCCGCTCCCCTCCGCCGCCCCCGCACCCCCGGCCGGGCGCTGGGGACAGGCAGAGGTGACAAAAAGCCCTGGAAGTGCGGGGGCAGCGTGTCCCCACCCCCAGCGTGGCTCCCCCCGGCCCCACATCGCTCCCCGCTACTGACCTTGAGCCCCAGGGCCGCGGGGGGAGGCGGGCGAGGGTCGGGGATCCAGGATCCAGCACCGCGACGGGGGGCCAGGAAGGAGGGGGAAAAGGGGAAGGGGGGGAACCTCAAAAGGTTTTGGGGGCCGCTGACTTGCCCTACAGCATCTCTTAGTCCGGCTTGGTGGGGCTGGGGGGGGAGGGGGGGGGCGTGGGTGTATTTTTGGGCTGCCGTCCCCCCACCTTGCCCCTGGAGGAAGTTTGGCTGGGAGTGGAGCGGAGCGGGCGGGAGGTATTTTTATTTTAGAGCAGCACTGCAGAGGGGGGTGGCTCGGGAGCTGTCTGTCACGGCAGCTGCCGGAGAGGACCTGTGCTGGCTGCCAAAGCTCACCCGGAGCCAGGGGACACGGCCCGGGGGAGCCCCGGGGCACGGCAGCCCCCAGGCAGGGACACGCTCCTTCCCAGTGCAGGAAAAATTTTGGGTCCCCACTTTAAGCCCTGTAAGGCTGAGAGAGTAGCCCCCCGTCACCTTGTGTGCTCACACTGCACGGGGATGGGGAAGGTGAGGCACGGAGCCAAAAGGTGCAATTCCTCCCTGGCTTGGAGGAGTTTAAACCCGTTCGGGGCTCGGAGATTGCAGCATCTCCTGCTCCCGGGTAACGAGTGTCCTGACAAGAGGAAACGACCCCAAGATGCGCCTGGAGGGGGGTTAGGTTGGATATTAGGAAAGATTTCGTCACTGGGAGGGTGGTCAGGCATTGGAACAGGCTGTCCAGGGAAGTGGTGGGATCTCCATCCCTGAAGGTGTTCGAAAAACACACTCGGGGTCGTGGCTTAGTGGTGGGTTTGGTGATCTCAGAGCTCTTCTTCAACCTCAGGGAGTTCACGATCTCTACAAACCACCCTTGGGCTCTCCTTCTCAGCTTCCAGCATCCCCAGCAAAGGAAGGGAACACCAGGAATAGTAGGAAGGGGCTTGGGTTGGGTTGTGGCTTCTCTTAATTCAGGATTGGCGAACCCAGCTCAGCCAAGAGCAAATCAACACGGCGTCAGCTCCATCCCCCTGCCCTGGGGCCAAAGCTTTCTTCCAAATCCCTGTGAGGTCTGGCGAGAGCTCACACTGGGGCCATCATCCCTGATCATCTCCTGAGCTGCCTTTAGGGTCAGGGGACAGAAACCAAGCACAGAACTCCGAATTTTATGAATCCCTCCCCGGCTCGCCTGGTCTGGGGTGAGATGATGCGTTCTGGGCTCCGCAGGGGGGGGGGGGGTCTCCAGGACGGGCAGCCCCCGGGGCCGCCCAGCTTTGCTGCGAACAAAAAGGCTTTTTAGCGTCATTTTTGACCTGGTGAGCACAGAGGGAGACTCTCCTTGGCCTCGGCTGTGTGGCCAGCACTTTCAGCACTTGATGAGCCACTTAAATTTGCCGCAGCCGGGGCGGGATTCGGGCTCTGAGATGCCCTTTAGCCCCAGCCTGATTCCTGCATCCCGCTGCTGCAGCTCCAGCGCTGCCCGGGGACTTGGCTCCCGACCTTGGCATAATTGACTGCGTGCTTAGAGGCGAAGTAATTAAGAGATCGGTGCAGATAAGCACAAGGGACACAATTCCTCGCGCTCCCTCCGCCTGTGGCAGGCAGGGAGGGGTTTACGGCCACATCCAAGAGGCTCGGCAGGAGGGAAAAATCGTGTCTGTGGATGCAGAGGGACATCGGCTCCCTGCGGTGTGGGGAGGCACACGAGGAAAGGGTCACTGGGGACTGACAGATCCGTGTCACTCCTCTGGCTCCCAAACACGCTCACCCCCCCCATCCCAATCCATGAAAAACAGAAAAACAGCCCCCAAATCTTTTTTTTTTTTGCTTTAATTTATACATATTCTAAAAAAATTAACCACACCTCCCCTTGATTTCTAATATTATGATTTATTTTTAATGTAACCATCCTCAGCACAGGTGAGACCTCTGTGTTTTACTGTCCCAGTGTTTATGGCTTTGAGATGCTTTAAATGGTATTTTTTCAAACGCTGGGTGGGTTGCTGGAAGTTGTGGCACAGGAGCTGAGGCCAAGCCACTCTTCAGTGTCCGAGAAAATGAGTGGGAAGGTGGTGGAGGGGGTTCAAGGAAAAGTGCTTGGCTCTGTCCCAGCGAGGCATAGCACGAGCTGGAGATGTTAATGGGGACACCAGACAACCCTCCTGGCTGCTGGAACAGATCTTTGGATGGGAGGGAGAGGGGGTTTTAATTGTAAAATCCTAGAGTGGTTTGGGTTGGAAGGGACAGTTGGAAAGTTCCAGCCCTCTGCCATGGGCAGGGACACCTTCCACTGGTCTTGGACACTTCCAGGGATGGGGCAGCCACAGCTTTTTGGAGCAAGCTGTGCCAGGGCCTCCCTACCCTCTCAGGGAAGAATTTTTTTCCTAATCTCTCATCTAACCCTGTTTTCTTTCAGTTAAAGCCATTTTGTCCCATCACTCCATGTCCTTGTCAAAAGTCCCTCTCCTGCTCTCTTGTTGGCCCAACACGGACTGTTTCCTGCTGCCTTGGGTTGTTCCATCGGGTTCCTCACCAAAATACGTCACTGGGAACGTGCCAACCCCACCAGGACCTCAGCAGGCACCTCCCAGCCAGCAGGATGGCTCAGGAGAAGGGAATGTGTCCCCCATGCAAGGTCCCTCTCAGGATCCCTCCCAGCACCCCCAGAACGGCTCTGCCCATCCCCCATGGCCCAACTCCATCAGTGGTCCCAGGGCCTCCTGCCACCCCAGGGAAAGACTTTGAAGGAGGCTCCCACCACCTCCTCCCACCCACCATCAGGTCAAACCCCACTGCCTTCACCTCCTCTCCTCACAATCCCCTCCCATTCCCCTCAAAAATGGCCCAGTTAGACCAGTGGCTGGACTGACACCCCCCCCCCCCCCCATCCCTTGCTGCCACAAGTGCATCCCACAGATCACTCCCTGACAAATGAGCTGCCCAGAGCCCAGGGCTGTGGATGGTTTGGGAGCTGTAAGTGGAGACTCCAGGGACTTAAGTGGCATTTGTGGAGTGAGGCCACCCTGTCCCATGGGAACAGCCGGCTGGGAGCTGGGCTGGGAGGGCAGAGGATGAAGGGAGAAACCCAATACCCCTCTTGGCTCAGTCAGGGCTTAATTTAGAGCACAGGGGGCTCTGCTGTTTTTCCATTTAAAGCTGAACCTCGTTCCTTTTGTCCTGCATGGGGTGAGGGCCCTGTGGCTTGCAGGGCAGTAGCAGCTGCTGGCTGGGGCTGTGGAGGGGCTGGCAAAGCATTTTGCAGCTCAGTTCCCCTTTGCCACCAGCTTCCTCACGTGAAGGACTGAAATCCGTCTCCTCCTCACACCT